TACCCTGCCATTTCTTTTCAATTCATTTTTATTTGATTAGCGCCAAATCATAATATACATTATCTCAAGGCAATATACATTTATCTTTTAGGCCAGAACCATTTTAGTCTGTGCATCTGCTACTTTCTTTTTTTTAATGGGTGTAGGTATCTTCTAACAGGAAACGCACAGGCACATTTGCAGGATATGCCGCTATTCAGACAGATAAACAAATAAGACATGAGGGGAAACACAGGCACTGCTAGATTTAGGGGCCTGTTTCAGAAAGTTGCTGCCAGGTTCTCATTGACAAACCCTGGCTACCTTTGGAAAGTCCATATAATCTCCTCTCCTAACCACTATTCCATGACCCCGATGGGATATGCCACAAGGTCAAGGAAAGAAGTGACGAAAAAGCAAAAATACTCTGTGCCGTAGGCTGTGCGCTGACAGCATAATGAAGTTTCCTGCCCAAAACAGAATGACATGTTCTGAGAAAAGATATTTTCAGTTCATACAGAGGAAACATTGAATCATCCATAACTCACAGAAATAATACCAAAACAGATTTGATTGAAAATAAGAATATATAACAAAGGACTGATATGTTGAAATATAATGTGAGGAATATGAGGAGAAAATCTCATATCAGTGGAGAACATATTGATTGTGTCCATTCCACAGTCAGGGGTTTGAAATAACTTTTATATTTGTATTTAGTTGTGATGATGATGTTGTGAACTATAATTTCCTAATGTTTGTTGTTTATTGTGACTCCTGAAGCTGCTGACTGCTGGGGCGTGCTCTTCCTCCTGTCTCTCCCTGCAGTCTCTTACACTCCTGCCGCCTCGAACATTTATTTGAAAATTTACTCCGGTCAGTCTGGCTACAGTAAAACAAATAATTTCAAAGATGCAAATAAAGAGTAGTAAAATTAAAGACACTTACAACGTGGGGGAGTTCTGCAAGAGAACTAGACACCACCAGTGCTTACTTTGTTGCATGTTTGTCTTGAAAAAGAAAATCACACAAGCAGATGGGTCAACATGTATCCTGAAAGGCCTTTTATCCTGTAACAATAGAATTTCAGTGAAATCACATTGCGTTTGTCATGATGTACAAACATATGGTAAATTAAGAAATAGTAGGTCATAGTAGGTTGTTGTGAGGTTATAATATTATTCAGAAACAATTATCCTCCAGGAATATACTTTTTGGATGTGAAAAACTCCCAGCATGTCACATCAACTCTGCATGAGTTTGATGAATTCATTTTTTATGTAGTGTAAAATTAGTTGCATTAGGTCCCTAATTAGGAATAATAAAGAAGACCAAGTATGAGCAGAAATAAAGGAGGGCATAGCATGCTGCAAGCATTAAACATTTTCATATGTTATTACAAACAGAACATAGGACAACTATAATGTTTACTTAATACACCAGCAACAGTTGTTTGACAGAATTTGCTTTGGTAAAGCCTGTGGTGTAAAAAGACACATTTCAATAAAGGAACGACAATAAAATTGTACTGTTCAGTGGAGTAATTTAAAAATATCTAATATGAACATCACACCAAATCCTCCAAGGCCCAGGGGACAAGATCTGAGCCTACATGGAGCTCAGCTGGAAGAGATAATAAAATCTCCGGATAAATCTCACATCAAAAATATGGCAGAAGGTGGTCAAGTTAGGGGAATCTACAATATGTTAAAATCTTAGATGGTGTGCTTATGATACAGACTTTTTTCCCAACGGGGGGGGGGGTTGAATCCTGGATAGGAAAGGGGCTGACAACCTCTCATTTACACAAGGGGGCGCTGAAAAGCTTTCAATCACTGCAAGAGGAACAGGGTCCACAGCAGTGATTTTTATAGATACCTCCCAGTACGACATTATTTCAATTAGAAGTGTGTACCTATAGACTTATCAATGGCAGGATCTGAGTTATATAAAATCTTAAAATCAGCCTTAAGTTCAATACCACAGAAGTCAATATCTAGACTGTATAATGTTGTCTTTAATGCTAAAAGTGACAACACCCTGTATGTCAGACAAAAGTGGGAAAAAGAAGCTGGAAAGGGCATTTCGAAGGCTCGGTCACTGCGGACACAGAGATGGCAACTGTGACAACTGTGGAGTCCCAGAGTCTGTCCAACACATTTTGATGTATTGTCCACTCTGTGTCAAAGAAAGGAGAATGGCATTTATAGAGATAGGCAAACTGAGTATTGAAACAACACAGGAGAGAGATATGGAAACTTTGTGTGTGGAAACTTACAAGATGTAGTATAAACTGAGGACATAAGCTGCAGTGATGGTTCGTTACCTGTTGGAGGCAGCAATGCACTAAGTAGTGCCTAGTCTGCCGGAAAGAGAAGAAGAAGAAGAAGAAGAAGAAGAAGAAGAAGAAGAAGAAGAAGCTACCCAACACCGGAAGTGCTGCCGTACAAACGTGAATAGGAGCAGAGCATCCCTGCACAAACTGCAGACAACACGTTTATTTATACATTGTTAGCTAAAAGTATCAATACTTAGTGTACAGAAACATTTTAAATATAGATTTTCCACTGGCGTTGTTTTGCGTCATCGTCCTGCAACAATGACGTAATAACCGGTGCAGAGATGTAGTGTCCGAGCGCTTTCTTTTCTTTTGCCACTGAGCTCGTATACTCTACAGCTATATAGTATTCTACAATGAAGGCCCCATGGTGAAGTGTGGGTTAATGAATGAGCGGGTGACTTTCCGTCCACTGAATCTGTTGTGCGTCATTTAACGTGCCGTAAAGCGTTTACTGTTGCGCATGCGTGTTTCACAAGTAAACCTCTCCTGATAGTGGATCGAGAAGGCTTCTCTTATTTCCCTCGCAGGTAACGTTTTACCGTGTAGATGGCACTGCTAATGCTACATCAGCTCGTTTCTGACACGGCCTGTTCTCGTTAGCTAGAATGAATTCATCGGGGTGTTTAGTTTAGCAGCTAATGTTAGCACCGTAACACGACGTACTCACAACAACATTGAAAGGCGGCCGTGTTTCCTACAGATCGTCTCGGTAAACCTAAGACACGATGACCCGCCATGGGAAGAACTGCACGGCAGGAGCTGTTTACACGTACCACGAGAAAAAGAAGGACACGGGTGAGTACCGCAGGGAGCTAACCCTTAGTTTAGTCCCGTGGTGTTGGGCTAGGCTTTTTTCAAACGCAGTGACAAACATTACACACAGGACACAAACACTGTGCCCAGTTTAACCAAGTTAAGCCCAGAGGTACAATCGACCTGAAGAAATGCATTGTGAATTCTGCATTTAGCAGTAATTCTGCAGACAGCTAAAGTCTGAGCTGAATTAATGGGAAAATATGAACAACTCTAAGTAACAATGAAATCACATGTCACACATGTGTATCTCAAAATTGAAAAATGCTTTAGGCATTGCAAACGTCTTCATCACAGGTGCACAAATCCAGTGCTAGTAATCACAAATGAAGAAACTCCTACTTTCACATGTGTGGCTACAGTCGCTGCAGCAAAGAGGATGCAAAACACATCCACACTGCTGTAACGAGAGCTGCACGTGTGGAATACTTTCTCAGAAATCCTATGGACGTTCTTCCAGCACAAACACAAGTCATCAATCACAACTGCTTGAAATTGATGCATTGAGTCACAGATGCTCACAAATATCTTTGTGAAAGTGAAACCAAAGTGATATGTTTGTCTGTAGAGCCTGGAGTGGGCTATGTTCAGGGGTTAAAGAACCATCGGTCATTAAAACAAGTTCTTGGAGTTTTAATGGTGGTTGGCGACCCACCATATAGATCATCCAATATCACCCTCATTAATACCTTTTCTCTTAAAACAAATGATTTCTGCTTTTCATCTTATAAAATTCATATCAGATTTGCATTCCGTACAATGGTCCTATGCATGCCAGTGTAATCAGGAAGCGGATTATCTACTCTCCAGTTGGTTGGTAATAGAAAATACTATGTTCAAAAAACAGTGACGGTGAAAAGGACAGATGGATATATTCCTTTTATTTAAATGGAACAGGCTCGTACAAGCTCGCACTCATTTTGTAAGGGACTGTAAAAGGCTGATAGCAGTTCAGACTGGGCTATTTCTTGTTGCAGAATAATCCCTTGCAGTGCATACTTAGTTTTTTGTCATATGTGTTTGTATTTAACAGGTTTTTAATTTTTTTAGGAATATAAAAATAATCGTTGAGTAAATGACAAATGAATCATTAGATTAACAGATTCATCAAAAAAATTCACCTCCAGCTGGTGCTGCGAAATGTTTAAGCTTTCTCAGCCATGATTTCATCCATAGGTTGTTTTTTTTTTTGCTACAAAATGGAAAACAAAACATCGGTCCTCTTTTTCTTCTGAAGTCACGTTCAATCACAAGTTGTTTTGCCCACCGCCTTGAATAAACACTGAAAAAGAGGAATATCATAAAATGTTTCAAATGGGTAAAATATGAATGTGTTGTTGTAAGTGGTGCTAAAATGTTCCTCTCCTAAAAAAGATTAGAAATAATAAGAAACTAAGATTCCACTACCCTGTTTCATTCCTGATGGACCTCATCTTAATTGTATTGAACCATTGACACCCCCCCACATGAGCATGTTCTGCATCATCCTTCAGTATACACTTTAAGCATGTTGTGTGCGGCTTTCTTTCTTTTTGTTCAGCTGCATCTGGTTACGGCACTCAGAGCATTCGATTGGGCAAAGACGCTATCAAAGACTTTGACTGCTGCTGCCTGTCCCTTCAGCCCTGTCATGATCCTGTGGTGACGTATGTTTCTCTCTCCAGCGCTCATACTCTCAAACATATTGTATAACTTTATTGTGTGACCGCATACATAAACAGTCTTCTTTCTTTTGCTGTCTGCAGTCCAGATGGATTCTTGTATGACAAACAGGCCATTCTTGAATACGTTCTCCACCAGAAGACAGAAATTGCCAAAAAAATGAAGGTAAAGCCAGCAGTTCTGACTATGTATACACAACACCACACTGGTGTATCCAGTTGGATTTTAGAGAGAGATCTATCTGCAAACTGCAAAAGTGACACCTGGTGAGGAGACAGAGAGACAGCTGTCAGATGAAATTTAGTTTCATATTAGGAGCATTGTTGAATTAAAATCCACACAAATGTAACTTAATAACAACATTGGTCCTGTGTCATTGGCTAAATCTATGCTTAAATTGTGATAAGATAAGATCGACTTTATTCATCCCACACTGGGGAAATTTAGACATTACAGCAGCAGAAGGGCATTAAGATAGAGAACAATAAAATAAAGATAGAAAATAAGAATATACATATGTAGATATAAAGAAAAATGTAAACACCATACAAGGATACAAGGAAATTCACAGTGATATTGCACATGGGAAGTGGAAATATACATTGGATGTAACAAAAAAGTTATTATAAAAGTTAGTTCAGTATGAAAAAAGAGCTGAAACAGAGCAAAGAAGATGCTTCTAAAACCATAAATGGATCCATGTGGGTGTTGAAGCTTATGTCATTAATGATTTTCAAACATGTCAACGTTTTAGTGAAATGTTCACCAACATACTCAGCTTTGTTTTCCTCCTCTCTTTAGCTGTATGACAAGCAGAAGAAGGCACAGAAGAGCAGCAGCCAGCTTGAGTCCAAGTCGGAGGAAAGGGAGAGAGTGGAGAAGTTTAAAACCAGGGAGAACAGCATCGTATCCAAACCCATCAACCCATTCATATCTGGTAAGTCTCAAATGTCTTCAGTTTATGACTGCATGCTCTATGTCTGAACTGGGACCATTGACACACCGACCTGGATAGTTTTGGAAAAAAATGTATTTTTTTTGGTAATCCATATTCACAAATCACAATTTGTCTCACAGGGCTTAACAGGGTTCAATATCTTCTGCCCTTAACGAGTAGGAAGAGTGAGGAAAAACTCTAGCTAGCTAATGTTAGCACATCGTCGATGTCGCTAGCCTGCTAATTAACGAGTCTACTAATGTTAGCTTCCAAACTGAGACTGCAACTGCAGATATTAAAATCAATTTAAAAGGATGACTTGGAGTAGTACGTTTTTTCAAAGTTTTAAACACTCCCTCCCGTTTTACATGCTAGCTAAGCTAGCTGTGTTTTGAGCTAGTTAGATTGCCTGCTGTTGATGGGCTGTTCAGGGTCTCTGCATGGACTTCACCTAGGGAGAGCATAGACATCTCCAATATGTCCCTTTCAGGAGCATCAGGAAAGGGCCACATGGCTTTCATAGCACTGCCACACAAGCCAGTAGCCGGTCAGATTTACCTTTACCTTCAGATTTACCTTACAGAGCTCAAATGTGATGGTTAAACAGCTCTGTGTCCCAAAAAAATGTAACTGAATTGATATTTTTTATTATAATTTATTGTTCTTCTAGCCATGGATTTTTTTTTTGTGAAGCACTTTGTAACTTTGTTTAGATAAGTGCTATACAAATACAGTTATTATTATTATTATTATTATTAACCGTATGACACAGTCAGTGAGCCATAATAAAATGTAAATTCAAATTTAATGTGTAATCGTTTTACATTTTTTTTATATAAATGACTACATGTAAAATTGTACAGAATTAATCCTGGTCCTGGATCTGTAAACAATAAAGCACTCAGGACGCAAAGAGGTCAAGTCAGTAACATGCATTGTTGAGACATTAATGTGATTAAGTGGGAGAAGAGAAAAGATAAGCTCCAATGTGTCCTTTAGCAGCATAACTAAAGAGCAGGTCGAAGACAGGCCTGGACCAGCTCTAACTATAAGCTTTATCGTAAAGGAAGGTTTAAAGCCTACTCTCAAACGTAGAGAGGGTGTCTCCGGGACAAGTAAGCCTGAATTCTGGGAGCTAGTGGGTTGATATGGTACCATGAGCTCTTTAAGGTATGATGGTGTCATATTATTAAGGGCCTTGTAGGTGAGGAAGAGAATTTTAAATTATATGCTGAATTAAAATTTATACTGGAAGCCAGTATAGTGAAGCTAATACAGGAGATACAGTATGTGGTCTCTTTTCCTGGTTCTTGTCAGAACATGTACTGCAGCATTTTGGACAAGCTGCGGGGTCTTTAACTCTTTACTGCTGGAGCCTGATAATAGGAAATTACAATAATCAAGTCTGGATGTGTCAAAGGCATGGACTCATTTTTCTGCATCTTTTTGAGACAGGACATGTCTGATTTTTCAGATGTTACAAAGTTTAAAAGAGGCACTTCTAGAAATTAGTGAGAATCAAAGGACACATTAGGATCATACAACTCCCAAATTCCTGACTGTTCTAGAACTGAATAGAATCTAGAATGGCTATTTCATTAGATGATGCATCTTTAAGGTGTTTAGGGCCAAGTATTAGAACCTCTGTTTTATCTGATTTTAATGAGAGAAAATTGCGGTTCATCCAGGTTTTGTGCATGAAGTTTAATTAATTGATTACACTGTTCTGGTTTTATTGATAGGTATAACTGGGTGTCATTCGCATAGCAGTGGGAATTTACAGTGTGTCCTGATAATGTTTCCTAGTGGAAGCCGAGCACAGAACCCTGAGGAAAACGGTGCTTAACTTTGGTGTGCACAGATGACTAATCATTAATTTGCACAAGGGGAGGTTAGATATTGGTCTGTAATTGGTTAAAACCTCCGGGTTCTGAGTGTTTTCTTTGAAAAGGGATTTGATTAAAAGCTTATAAAATTGTGGTACATAATCTGATGATAGCAGTATATTAATTGTATTCAGTAAAGTACTAGTCAGAACATCTGATGTGGTGCACAATTGAACACAGGGTCTAGGAAGCTGTTCCAACTGTTTATTATAATCAGAAACCGTCAACATTTGGTGATGGCATCATTTCAATTTACATCATTAATTCATCCACAATCTGGCATCTCAGTGTCTTTAGCGCATGATTACACTCGGGGATATGAGTTCTTCATGGGATTGTGTGGAGGGAAAAAGGAGTAATAGGCCTGAAAGGCTGACTTATATAAGCCTTGTGGAGTGGGCTGTGTGGCAGTGGTGCAGGTTGGACCAAGAATTATTTAACACTGACTGTTCGTGTGTCTGTGAGTGAGAGAGAGTGACAAGGTGGTAAAGAGTACTTGACACAGAGATTGTCCATATTGTGCAAATGGACTGCATTTATGTAGTGTTTTTTTTCTCTTATCAATGACTCAAAGCACTTTACAAAAAAGTTGCATTCACCCACAGTACAGCGGTATTACAACTCACAATTGTGTAACTGTTAAATTGAAGCAATGTCAGACTGGTAGATATAATCAAAGTAAGGCATCAAAGGCAGTACAAACTAACTGTTTTCTCCTCCAGGGCAGAACAAAGGAATTGAAAAGGGCAGGACAGAAGGCAGCTCAGTAGAATCCTCCACTGTCCCCTCAGCTTCCACTTCCAGCCAGAGCCTTCCCAGTTTCTGGATTCCCTCCCTGACTCCAGAGGCCAAGCCCACTCTGATCAAGAAACCAGTGAGTGGATTCTCCTGCCATGTCGATCATCTTTCAGGAATCGAATTGATAACATATACTGTACTGCCCTTATGTCTTGCTTGCATCAGGTTGCTGATGTCACCTGTCAGAGAGTTTAGCTGCTTTAAGACATTCTCCCCTTTGTTGTAACCTCATGACAATTGAACATATTATTTATTATTTAGGATTATCTTAGGATCGTGTAACATTTATGAAAGAAATGTTATCCAGGAGGTGTAACACACCTTGCAGCCTCTACTCGGACTTTTAGACTTGAGTCATAGTCTGCATGGTCAGTGTTTTTGGGTTAGGCTGCTGTTGGTGTCAGTGTATTCTCTCACTGTTTGTTTTGTTTATCTGTCTGTTTAATGTTGAAATTGTTTTAAAGGGTAAAGGTGGCTTGGCCATGGATCCAAAGATGGATACCTGCCTCTGGCTGAAAGAGAGCGTTCTACTGTTTGACTGAAGTTACGCGGAATTTATTGTGGAGACGGTGATTAATTAATTAATCTTATCTCCTTCTTTGATGTCCCTAATGTCTATCAGAGTAAGGCTGTGCTATGCCCCATGTCGGGACGACCCATTAAGATGAATGAACTTGTCACAGTGCGCTTCACCCCAGTGGACCCGAGCCTGGGCAGAGTGGCCTTGCTCACCCGTCAGGTCAGTTTAAGTAAACACCTTGTTCTTCACCGTCATACGAAATGTTCAGTGTTAACAGCATTCACTACTAAATTGATAAATGTAAAAGGTCTGTATTTATACTACGCTTTTTTAGTCTCGCTCTTCACAGTATGCAAACAGGGAAGACTACGATCAAGCCACCGACCTTCTGGTTGGAGGACAAGTTCTCTACCCTCCTCAGCCACAACCCTCTAGTACCTAGTACCCAGGCCTGCCACAGTGTGTTATCAATATGATTAATCAAGTTACAGAAAAAAAATTACATATGGGATGGCTGGGGCTCATCCCCCAACCAAAGGTCAGTGGGTGATCTTCCATGATCATTTAAGATGGCGATTCTGTTTCTATCAGTTTTCTGAGAAAGGGCCTTGGTTTTATTACATCACTGTAGCAAATACATCCTATAACAGGTATTCTATGTATTGTGATTATTTTTGATCTTCATATTGCCCCTGTTAGCTGTGCCATTAGTGTGAGAATGGGAAGTGAAACCCCTACAAATAGAGGCACTTGAATGAATCCATGTGTGTATAGGTAATGGTGTGAAACAACCGTTTTACATTTGGAACATTTACACTAAGTGATGATGATGATTATTATGCTCAACCCATATCAAGTAATTTACCTTGAGACTTGAAAGGAGCAGTTATTATTTGATTTAATTCAGCTTGCCTAAGAATCACTAGAAGGTTGCAACACAACAACGCAAGTAAGAAGTATAGGGATTCATCATACATCTTACACAAAACATTTCAGTTGCATTGTCTGTTGGCCAACACATTACGATTGGTCCAGGCCAGGCACTTCATCATGTGTAGAAGGCAGCTTTCTTTCAGACACCTTAACTTTGTTTGGCAGAGCAGTCCAAAACAGGAAGAAAGTCGTGAATTGAATTGAAATAATTACCTTGACCTGTTAAAACTTGGTAGAATCACTTCACTTTTATTTGTATCTCGTAAAATCTCAACATTCTCTCTGTTGCTTTTTCTAGCTTTCATTTACTGTAAAATGTGAACAGATAGATCTGTGCATTTGTAATTGGATCTCTCAGGACATATAACATTCACGGACAAAGTCCAGTTTGAACTGAAATGGTTTTTACATGTCCGCTCAAATGCGGATATGGCCTCAAGGTGTGTTTTTTTTATGTTTTTCACTCAATTGAGAATGTCCTAAAAAGACTCAGACCAACAATGGAGGGTAGCACATAAGAAGAATCATCATAGGTTTTGGAGACGCACACACTGTTAAGTTGCTTTCAGTCATGTGCTGAACTGGATAATCTAAATGACCCAGATGGGCTGTATTTGAAGCTGTATTTGACGTATCTAACACATGACGGATGGAAAAAAAGAATAGCAATTGCACAAGACGAATAAGAAAAAGTGCGACACGCCCTCAGATATGTTAAGATGGAAAGATTCCATGCTGGTATTGATGTAACATGTCATTTCTGGAATTAATACTTCACATAATGCCTCCTGCATGCTACACCACCCCTCTGTGTTGTTGTGAACGCATCTGAGCAAAGAGCAAAACCAACTCCGGAGAAAGTCTGGACCCCATTTTGGTTCATGTCTTTAGTGTGATAAAATTATTAGCAAATTAGCTTCTCAACAACCACTGAGTATGTAATGATATTATGGTCAAACCTTTTTCTCTGTGTAATGTGTTGCCTCTGCCGTGCTGCTAATGTGATCTAACCCTTTTTTGTGTCTTCAGGACAGGTATGTATGTGCAGTAACCAGAGACGTCCTCGCCAACAGTGTTCCCTGTGCTGTTCTGCGACCCTCGTGAGTGGCCCAACTCTGGCATTCGCATTCTAAGTGTTCTCTTTAAGTACTCCCAAGAGTATGTGACACTTTCTTTATGACGTTTTTTTCAGGGGTACAGTGGTGACTCAGGAGTGTGTGGAGAAGTTGATCAAGAAGGACATGATTGATCCTGTGACAGGAGACAAACTGTCTGACAGAGACATCATACCACTGCAGAGGGTATGTGTGTACTTCTATGTTGACTCAAGGGATGTCAGCTCCCCTTAGAATCAAGTACTATGATTTTATTTCATAGTACGCATAAGAACCACCCGTTTGTAACGCAAGTCTTGCATATGTACGTATGTCTACTTAACAAGCAAGTGATTGAGAGATAGCATTTATGTGCTTATTATTTTCCCAACCTTTTATTGTGGTAAACCCCAGGGGCGCCCATAGAACTTGCAGTAACACCAGTGTTTTCGGTGGCAACATTTGTGTGTGCAACATTGCACGTCTGCCACGTCAAATCTGTGAATTGCAACTAAAAATGTTTCTCGGTGCGCCTAACATTGAGCTGATGTCTGTGTATTTTATCGATTCATGTCGCCTCGCTCATCTCCTTTGAGCCTGGGAGCGAGGCGGGTTTACACTCAAACACAGATCCTGGGCCAGCCCCACTCACACACACACACACAGATAAATGGACTTTGAAGCGGAAATGAGAAAGAAGAGCTTGTCAACATGAACAAGGCAGTATATGTGTAAACTCGCTCCCAGACTCAGAGGAGAGAAGCGGTACAACTCGCATCTCTTCTGTAAAACAAACACAAAGGGCAATTTATCGAGGTGAGCAAAATGATTGACTTCATGTTTATATATAGTGAGATAAGTCAGTATAGTAATTATCCTATAACCTTAACACTCACCCCTAATCCTAGTGTTTTTAGTTTCCCACATTTCCTAACAGTATGTCTGTACTCTGATGTGAATTTAGTGCTGACTGCCTGTCATGTGTTTCTGTCAGGGTGGAACTGGCTTTGCTGCATCAGGGGTTGACCTCAGTGCCAAAGAGGCTCGTCCAGTGATGCAAGTGTGAGACGATGGAGGATCTGAGGACCGTGTGTGAACATGTGTCCAAGGCTTTCACACACTCCGATGGCCTATGCAATCTGCTGGCATATTTTTCCTCCTCTTGAAGCTTTTTTTTTTATTATTGAGAGTTAAATAAACAGTTCTATATAGTTTACCTTTACATTTTGATTATTTTGATTGTGTCTTCAATGACGGTGTCCATACAGATAATTCCTTTATAGGTCCTGCAATGGGGAAATTTGCAATATTACAGCAGCAAAAAGACAAAAGCAAGAAAAACCTAATAAATTAAGTTTATTCATATCAACTTTTCCTGTCGTTAGCTTTTCAACCTGTAGGTGGCGCAGTCGAACTTTTACTTTGTCCAGCTTCCTNGAAAATATGAATGGAATTAAACTAATATATGCAGTGTAATGAAATATATTATGTGAAGGAATATGTACAGTGAATGTATTACACATGAACCGTTTATATTGCACAGACAAACAGATGGTTATGGCACAGTGAATATTGCACAGTTGAGAAGTTAACAAGGCAGCTCAATCTTCAGGTAGAAGGTACTGAACTGGTATTAACCACAATGGGCTCCACTAAAGAAGTGGAAAGTTGCCTTCTTGGAGATTTGGAGGTCAGTGGAGTTGAGGAAGATAACATCAGCATGCCAACGGATCAGAAGAGCATTCCAGTAATAAAGGAGCACACTCCAGAGAACACAGAGTGTTGGAGGGTGATGAACAGCAGCGTGTCACAATCAACCGGATTTCAGTGGAGACAGTGGAAAAACTGCTTATACAACAATACAATGCTGACTTTCCTGAGCATTGCAATGGCGACAAGGTGGAAATGTCATAAGAGGACATTATTACCTGTGTCTAGCTCAATTAATCATGCAAATGGACATTATTACATTAACCTACCAACAAAGAAATATCTGGTTAGTTTGCCAAACAACAGCAGTGTTGCATTGAACCTTAAGACGCTTACCAGGAACCACACATTTCACCAGGAATACACAGACTATATGAGTGACTCGAACAGTTGTGCAGTTGAGGTGCCAGAAACACAGCTGAACCTACAGAATGGGAGGTTGTGGTACATCCCACACCACGGGGTGTACCACCCACAGAAAACCAAAAGCTCTGTGTGGTCTTTGAGTGCGCTGCAGGTTATCAGGGCACTTCACTGAACAAAGAGCTGCTCCAGGGTCCAGATCTCACAAACGCCTTCCTCGGAGTGTTAACACAATTAAGACAGGAGCATGTTGCGCTGACGGTGGATGTTGAAGCCACAAAGTGAGAGTTATGGAAGAGGACACAGACCTTCTGCATTTCTTGTGGCCACAAGGAGATCTGACACAGGAGGTAAAAGAGTACAAAATGTTTGTGGAAGGTAAAACCTTAATACGCCACTGGGGAGCGCTGTTTGGCTGTTTACCCTCTGCAGAAACAAGCCATTCGCACTGTTTGTCCCCGCTGGGACACTGTAGCTCTGAGATTTGTTCCATGCGCAGAGCCACGGTGCTCAGTTTACTGAACTGGCCTGCAAGGTAAGCAGTGCACATGATGGCTCCCAACATCATAAAATATATTGTAACTAAAACCACCCATGTTGTCCAGCTGGTTCCACATTGTGTTCATAACTATGTTGAGATACACTTCAGTGCTGTTGATAAGATTGAGGACTCATGTTTAGCCCTTGAATATTATATACACTGTATACATCATCAGCCTTTAACACCAAAAGCTGTATTGACATCTTCGTCGGTGTCTTCTACATGTATGGCACAGCTTTTTCACCTAGAGATATTTGTTCTCTCTTCGTTTTCGTTTTGGAGTCTGTCCTGAAGAAAGTCTATAAGGCTCTCTCTGATATTTACGCTGATATAAACAGCCCCTCTGGAGAATGTCCAGAAGATCTACACAGTTCAGAGCATGTCTGAAATCAGCTTTAGATTAAGTGTCAAGCACTACAAAGTGAATAAAAAGTTACATTAAAATTCATATTTATGAACCATATTATGTAAGATCCTGATGACAGGGTGAATCTGACCATCTGGGTGGACTCGGTTGAGCTGTCCTATATATTATGATAATGGGCCAAACTTGAAAGGACTACACTTGTAATTGCTAACCCTTTCAGTCAGGCTCTTGTTTAATTTACTGCATGTCTTTCTATAGTTGTATAGCTCAACAATTTGAAGTGCTGCTCAGTTTTAATGTTCAGGTTAAAGTTAAAGTTATTCAGGGTTTAGGTTCGGTATGGGTTAGGTATTTAGTTGTGAAGGTTAAGGATTGTTGACACAAACATCATATTGAGAAACAGCTGAGAATCCTACCAATTATTTTTACAGCTTCTCTCTGATCACCCTTGATCAGCTGACCAAAATAATCTCATCATCTAAACCCACAACTTGTATCTTAGATCCAATTCCTACAAAATGACTGAAAGAATTTTAGAAAAGCCCCTAATTAATATTACTTTACTGAATATAATCAATCTATCATTATCATCAGGATATTTACCACAGTCCTTAAAGCTAACTGTAATCAAACCCCTTCTCAAAAAACCCTGGACCTGGAGGTTTTAGCCAACTACACACCAATATCCAACCTCCCCTTCCTGTCTTAAATCCTTCAGAAGGTTGTAGCCAATCAGCTGTGTGAGTTTCTCCAGGAAAGTAATGTATATGAAGACTGGTCTGCGGAAGACTTTGGTAAGTGGATTGCTGTTTCACTTGACGCTGCTCAGCAGGACGTGCTGACGCACTGTGCGGTGAGCGCATTGTGTCACTCTCAGTGTTAGCTGGTGTCTGTGTATCGATCTCTTCTCCTCTTCGTCTCTCCCAATTCTACTACTATCTGTCTCACTGAAGCTGATTTGGAATCACATTCGCTGTTGTACTGTTCTTTACACACACCTCTCCCTGGCAGTAATGAGGTCACAAAAATCAATATTGATTAGGTGCATACGTATGCAAAGACAATGTCGGACTCTTTCTCTCTGGACCCTTACCAGTGATGACATGTACAGCCGCATCTCATCCTTTTACCGCTGGCTGTGGAGGTGGTGTCCAAATAACAATGTGGGCTTTGTAGATAATTGGTGAAGTTTTTTGGGGAAACCTGGTCTGATTAGGAGAGACTCTATTCATCCCACTTTGGATGGGTCAGCTCTCATATATAGAAACATGACAACGCTTGTTAGACAGTTCATGACAATCCAGAGTTGAGACCAGGAGGCAGAGTCGCAGTCTTACACACTTCTCTGTGTTTCTATTCGAGCAGTCACCCTCAAAATATCCTATAGAAACTGTGTCTGCCCACGACCACCTAAATCATTAAATCAAAAGTAAACAGGAGAGCAAACCTGGCTGCAAGATGGAGAATATGTAGACTTAAAGGAAGCGACGCCCCCAAGCTATACTAATACTCATACTCCTCGAAGCACAGGCAGAGGTGGAGGGGTTGCAGCAATCTCTAAATCTGACCTATCTATCAACCCTCGACCGAAACATAGTTATAACTTCTTTGAAAATCTTATAATCAGCCTCATCCATCCAAGCCTGAAATCACATAAACCAATTCATCTAGTTATCATATGTCGTCCGCCTGCCCCTTACTCAGAATTTCTATCTGAATTCTCTGAATTTCTATCAGAACTAGTTCTTAGGACAGATAAAATCATTATAGTGGGTGATTTCAACATTCATGTAGATGTTGCCAGCGACAGCCTTGGTTCAGCTTTCAAATCAATAACAGACGCGATTGGTTTCACTCAACATGTGAATATAGACCCATATCCAACCTGCCCTTCATTTCCAAAATCCTAGAAAAAGATGTTGCTAACCAGCTGTGTGACTAGATAGTAACGGTTTGTTGGAAAACATTCAGTCAGGATTTAGAATCCATCACAGCACAGAAACAGCACTGTTAAGTCACTAATGACCTTTTCATGGCATCAGATGATGGACTTGTCTCTGTACTCATCCTGTTGGATCTTAGTGCAGCAGTTGACACCATAGATCATAAGATACAGAGACTAGAACAACATGTAGGGATCAGAGGAACTGCACTAGACTGTTTTAAATCATATTTATCAGATAGATTTCAATTTGTCATATTACTCCTGTCTTAGCTCCTCACATATAAAGCCCTTAACAATCAAGCCCCATCATGTATCAAAGAGCTCATAACACCATATTATCCAAGTAGATCACTTCGTTCACAAAACACAGGCTCTCTTGTGGTTCAGAGAGTCTGTGAGAGTAGAACAGGAGGTAGAGCATTCAGCTACCAGGCTCCTCTCCTGTGGAACCAGCTCCCACTCTGGGTTCAGGAGYCAGACACCATCTCTGCATTTAAAGTTAAACTTAAAACYTTCCTTTTTGATAAAGCCTATAGTTAGTRCTGGATCAGGTGAGTCCTGAACCATCCCTTAGTTATGCTGCTATAGGTCTAGACTGCTGGGGGAACTCCCATCATCCACTGAGCACCTCTCCACTTCTCTGTCTCTCTGCCCCCCCACATTCACTCATTTATTTATTTTAATACATGTCAATAACTATTTCACTTTGTCCTCCCATAGTCTCTCTCTTTCTCTCTCATTTCGGATATCTCTGACCCCGGAACTTCAGGACAACAACTTTACCTTTATTACTATAAGTAATTTCAATATCTCAGTAATTCATTATGATATGAATTGTGTCTGTTATCATTAATAATTAATAGTCTCGACACTGTTGTTTACATTTTAACTAGTCAGATCTGATACCTGATGGAGCTCAAGTGTTTGTGGTCTTTCTCGCCCCCCCTCTCCCCTACTTKCTCCTCCCCACTATCCCTCTCTCTTCTCTCCCCTCTTTTCCACCCATCTCTCCTCTCCTTCCCCTGTTTTCTTTGCTCATCCCAACCAGTTGAGGCAGATGACGCCCACATTGAGTCTGGTTCTAGAGGTTTCTCTCTGTTAATGAGGGAGTTTTCCTCCACAGTCTCCAAAGTGCTGCTCATTGTGGGAACTGTTGGGTTTCTCTATATTTTGATTTTAAGGTCCTGACCTTCTATGTAAAGWGCCTTGAGATAATGTATATTATGATTTGGCGCTATACAAATAAATTGAATTGAATTGAATTATACTAACGAGGATTGGTGCATTACCAAAATCAA